TGAGACACTCCTATCTATAAAGTCTTCTTGACAAGCAGGTCACCAAAAAAGCCCCACTGGTGGGAGTAAGAAGGAGGACACTCTGTCCTTCCACAATGGAGGTCCCTGCCACCAAGTCCCCTGACAAAGACCAGGCCTGGAGTGAGCTGGTGTGCAGAAGGTCATCAACCTTTTAAATTGTGGATAGAATTGAGCCTGAATCCCAGCTGCAAGCCCAGGGATGAGACCTAAGTCACAGCTCAGTGGTTCCTGAGCTCTGAATCCCAGTGCTTGAGTTCGAAACAAGTCTATTTTTTTTCCTTCGGGGCCCTTTCCACAGATGAAATTAAATATTTTCCACTCATGTACTTGGTGTCTATTTATCTCCCCCACTATAGTGCAAACTCCAGGAGACCAGGGAGAGTGTTTCCCCACAGCTAGCACAATGCCTGGCATAGCGTGAGCACCAGACAAATGTCTATTGAATGAATGAAAGAATGAAGTTTACTGTTTGGCTCTGCACAGGTAACTTGACGTCTCTGGGCTCAACCACCTATTCTTTAAAAAGATAACTACCTCCCTGGGTCATAAAAGAAGTAAACTCTTCATATAAGAAGAATTCACATGGCTGGCAACATCCATAGTCCCGTTGATTAGGCTTTCCTTTCCATGTTCTCACCTGATCTTCACAACATCACCATGAAGCAAGAAGAGCAAGGATTATTTTCTCCACTTGACAGATGGAGAAATAGGCCCATGGAGGGGAAAGGTTACTACAGATCATGACTGCACTACAGGGCGGAGCCAGGACTGGGACCCAGGAGTCCTGGGTCAGTTTAATCCTCCCCCAGACCCCCAGATTCTTCCCTTGGCCAGCACCAGACCCAGCAGCCCCTGCGATGGGCCACACGTGGAGGGAGTGGAAGGCCTTCTCCCGCTCTTCTCTTCCCACAGGTCTCCAGGGGTTGCCTGGCAACCAGCGCCTAAGCAGTAAGTGGCCTCCAGTCAGGTCTGTTGCTGTGGAGTAACTAAGTCTTCCTCTCTCCCCACCAGTGCGTGCTCTTGCTCTCTATTAAGACTTCTCCCCTCCCCCAGCCCCCCACCCAGTAAAATTATTTCATAATAATTAACCTCTCAGGAAACAGAGGGGAGCTCTCAGGGATCTAGTGCTGAGGGACCCCGGGGAACAAGGCACTACCAATACCCTCATCATCTCCCGGAGATGATAGAAACTCCTTTTATGAATGGTCCTGCTCAGCGATGCTCATAACCTCCTCTTCTTCCCTCTCCACCTTCCACCCTGACAATGGCTTTCTGAAATCCCCTGGGAGAGATGAAATGAGCTTGAGAAATTTAACTGAACACTTCATACGGTGCTAGTGAATCCTTGGATGCCGTTTTAGCACTTTTGGAACCACCAGTGGGAAATCTTGGGAAGGAACAATGTGCATGTGGATCCGGAGCAGAGGAAGGATAGACCTAACATTTATTGTATTCCTAATATGTGCCAGGCACAATAACATGTTATCCCACATAGCCCCCACCTTCACAAACTTGTGAGATCTTTACAGTTCAGGATATTACCTATACATAGAAGTGAAGTGACTTACCAAAGCTCACACAACTTAAAATCACAAAACTTTTACAGAAGTAAATATATGTGAAAAGATATATGTATTAGAAGAGATGTGTTCCTTCCTCTCCGTATACAATTAGTTGGTCATCAAATTCTGTAAATTCTAGTCCTAAATCTCTCTCCTCATTTTCATCCCTTACGTCATTTTGTCATTGTCTCAGTGTTATGTACCAAATGTTTGTGTCTTCCCAAAATCCAAATGTTGAAGCCCTAACCCTCAGGGTGGTTATATTTGGAGATGGAGACTGGAAGGAAGTCATTAAAGTTAACTGAGGTCATAGGGTGGGGCCCTGATCTGACAGGATTAGTGTCCTTGTAAGAGGAGACTCCAGAGAGCCTGCTCACTCTCCATGCCTAAGCACTAAGGAAAGGCCATGTGAGCACACGGCAAGAAGGCTGCAACCCAAGGGGAGAGCTCTCACCAGACATCAATCCTGCTGGAACCTTGATCTTTGACTTTCACTTTCCAGAATTGTGAGAAAATAAGTTTCTGTTGTTTTAAGCCATCTAATCTGTGCTTTTTTTTTATTATGGTAGCCTGAGCAGACGAATACACTTGTTTTCCCTCACATCCACCTACCCCGTAGACTGAAGCCAGAATTTTTTCTAAAATGAAAATCTGACTTTGTTAAAACCCACCTACGGCTCCCCAATGTCTATGGTAGTGGCCTCCAAATTTATACGCCTATAAGAAAAATGTAGGCATAGCACTCACAATATTTGTATATTTACTTAGATTATATAGATACTTCTGTACACAAAAGATATTAAATACATTAAAATGATGAAAATATTTAAATTTTTACATTTTAATGCATTTATGAACAGTACAGAATTTTTTTTAAAAAAAGTTTTGCTCCAAAAAAGCATATATGCACACATGCACGAAGAAAACCCTTTGCTAATTTTTTTTTTTAGCAAAAGTAATGTGATTGACTAGATCAGATCTAATTAGATTGTCATTGATTTTCCCTCAAAACATGACTGACAATGAACTTGTGCTAGGTGTCAGAGAAACAGCAAGTGAGGACAGATTACTTGGGCTCACTATAATTAGTATAGTTTTCAATCAGAGGTTTCTTTGCAAGACTCTTTTAAAGCCACATACACATCATGAGGTTCATTTAGTGAAAATTATGTAATATAATCAATAAATTCACTTAACTAAGCACAGGAAAACAGCAAAAGCTCACAGTGGGCTGAAAGTGAGTAAAAGAGTGAGGGAGCCACTACTGCCAACCCATTAGAAGGGCAGAATGTTTCCTCCTACCTGAAGATTTTTCAAGTGTAGGATATGTGACCATCTAATGTGGAGATCAAATGAAGGCATCCATGTCAATCATATAGCAAATATTAGTAAACATTTATTTTATATTCATGGATAGGATTGAACCCTAGTAGTTTCTCCAATTCCCTAAGAAATAATCAGGCATGTACCCTCTGGCCCATGTCAAGAATCTTCTATTTGTTGTACAAGGTCTCCATGACCCCTAAGCGGCCTCTCCAGCAAATTTCTCTCAGCAACCCCTCCCTGCTCTTTCACAGCCTTGCTCCAGTTTCACCGTATTGCTCACTGTGCCCCAAATATCCCTTGCTTTCAACCCCCTCTATGCATTGGCTGCAAGGAAGATGTCAGATTATACAAATGAAAGTACTCAGCACATAACAGGCACTTAATAAATGCTTATTGATTCTCACCAGGAGGTAGTTAAACTAAATCAGTGGTTCTTCAATTTTAGCCTACGTCAAAACCACCTGGCAGGTTTCTTATAACACAGATTGTTGGGCCATACTCCAGAGTTCTTGATTCAGGGGGTCTAAGAAGGAAGCTGAGAACATGCATTTCAAATTTCCCAGGTGATACTGTTGCCACTGATCTGGAGACCACACTTCTAGAACCAATGAACTAAATGGTCTGCATAGCTTCTTGCATTTTTACAATTTTTGATTCCTCAATGCTTTTAATAGAGACTAAATTTAAAAAATGAACTTTTATCTCTATATAAATTAATGCTTAACATGATCTCAAGTGGAAATATGGGCTCTATAAGACCTAACACGCACAGTGTAGAGAAAAGAGCACATATTTGGAAGCAGAAGATCTAAACTGAAATTTCACTTTGTAGCTGTGTGGTCAACCTAAGGCAGGTTAATTATTTCCTGAATATCTGTCTCATGAGGGTAACTGTGAGATAATACTAATACATGAAAATAATTTGTAAGAAAAAAAGTACTGTATACAGACTATACTAATAACATATACGCACAATGTATTAGTGTTGATGGATTGATAATAAATAATACATGTTTTGAATACTTTAAATCACAAATTTTCAAAATGTTCAATTCCACTGCTAATTCATTACTGAACAGTATATGATCTACATGTTCCTATATTATCTCAAATATGTATGTATTTTATTAGTATCCCTGGTAAATACCAATAGTAGCTGGGGTGGTCAGTTTCCAAGAAGGTCCCCAAGAATCCTCACCTCCCAGGATTTGTACTCTTGTGTAGTTTCCTCTTACATTGAATCAATGACCAATAGAATACTGTAAGGCTAAGCAATAAGAGATACTGCCACTTCCTGTTTGGTTTCTTGGATCTCTGCCCCTGGGGGAAGCTAGGGGTCGTGGCATGAAGACACTTAAGAATCTCTGTTGAGAGAGTCACACAGAAGGAAGGAAGACTCCTGCTAACAGCCAGTACCAGACATATATATGAGTACACCATCTTGGGAGGGAATCCTCCAGGCCCACTCAAGCCTTCAGATGACTGCAACCCAAGCCAACATCTGGCAGCAACCTCATAGAAACACTCCAGAAACCGAGCCACTCCCAAATTTTTGATCCATAGAAATGTGTGTTAATGAATTATTATTGTTGTTTAAGCCACCAAGTTGTGAAGTGATTACACAGCAACAGATTATAGATATAGTAGCTAAAATTTATTGTGCATTTATTATGTTCCAGGAACTATGCTAAGCACCCAACAGCCCCAAGATGTAGATGCTATAATAATCCCCAAAGACGAAAGTGTGGACCAGAGAGGTTAAGTAATTTAATCAAGATTCCATGAGTAGTAAGTGGTAGATCTAGAATTTGAATCCAGGTAAGTAACTCCAAAGCCCAGATTCTTGCTCACTCATCTGTATAAGCCAAGATATAGCCTCTTGGACAGTTAAGCAACAGAAGCAACTAAGCTCCCAAAGGAGAGCAAACTCGTATAAAACCAGCAAGGGGCAGTCCAGGGGCCAGATCTGCAAAGCACCAGTGCCTACTGTCATAAGACTCAGAAGTTCTAAACTGGCCCCACCTCCCAGCCCTTGTACTAGCAAACGAGTTCCCTCTTGGGACAATGCTGCCCAATATGCCCAGGACTCACCCAAATCTGCAGCTTCACTCGCTTCTCATGGCGGTAGACTGTCTTCACCTTAAAGTCAATGCCCACGGTGCTGACGAAGGCCGGGGTGAAGGTATCATCAGCATAGCGGAAGAGGAAGGAAGTTTTGCCAACACTGCTGTTGCCAATGATGAGCAGCTTGAACATGTAGTCAAAATTCTGATCAGAAGCATCTTTGACTCCAGCTTTACCATCAGTCACTGAAGCCATCTGCAGGGAAAACCTGTGGTAACTTGGGAAAACACCTCCAGTGCCTATCTTTTAATGGCCACATCACCATTCACACACTCACTCCCCACCTCAGCATCACTGAGGAAACACACACTACTCAGAATCACCCCATCACTGCACCTGCCCCAAATGTTGTCTTAGGATTGGGGTGGAACCCAGCTCCTACCATTCATTTCTTCAGCAAATATTTACTGAGCATGTTGTTCTAGGTCAAACCCTGTGCTGGGCATGGGGAATACAAATATGAATTAGACATGGTGTCTGACCTCAGAGTAGCCAAAGATTAGAGTTAAAAAGCCTGTAAATACAGAGTAACGAAGCCATCAATAAGAGAGAAGTCTTGGCTGAGGAAGCCCACAAGCAGCATCTAACCCATTCTGGAGGCATGGTGGTCAGGGAGAGTCTTCTGTAGAAGGCAGCTCCTAAGCTGAGTTTCGGGGGAGAAAAAGGGCCAAAACAGCAGAAACTTGAACATTCCAGGAAAGGCCCAGTACAGGGCTATCATTCCCCTGTTTCAAAAACTTTTATGGCTCCCATAGCTCTAAAGATCAAGCCCAAACTGCTCAACTTGACGAAGAACCAACTAACCAAAGAAAAAATGCTCTAAACTTTATCTTCCCCTAAGACTTCTCCCTACCAACCTGTGCTACTTTTATACCAAATTACACACTTTACTCGAAAGATGCCATGTTATTTCTTGCCTTTGTCCCTTTAGATATGTTTCTTTCTTTCTGCCTACAACACTCTTCTCCTCCTAATAAACTCCTATTCAACCTTGTAGATGCAACTGAAGTCTCACCTCCCCTGTGCAGGGCAGAAGCACGTACTCCTGCCCCTGTGTTCCCAGAACACTCTAACAGCACGTGCATCATTTCAGAGCTGTTGACTATTCCAGCTCCCCCTTTAGATCAAGCATCTGAGACAATGTACTTCATTTCTGCATCTCTAGCTTATAGCGCAACTCCTAGTACATAATCAGCACTTAGCAAATGTGTGCTGAATTCATGAAAGTCACATCACCACTCTGTGGCCCAATCACATCATCTGGAAAATGGGGAGAACAATCTCTGGCCTACTTTACTACAGGGCTGTTACAGGACTTAAATGAGATAACAAGGAGTAAGACCTTAAGAAGCTGGTAAATCCCACACAGGTATGAACATAAGTCAGTTTTATTCCAAATCCTTCAAAGCCTAAATCCTTTATTTATTTGCTCATTTGCTCTTTCAGTCATTCAGCAAGTGTTTATGATGTGCCAGACCTTCCCTGAGACCCCAGCCCTCTCAGACCTATCACCATACTCTCCTTTCCTAGAATGCTTTGGATCTGAACGCCATTATTAAGCACTTGGCCCCAGTGTCTTATGTGCTTTTTCATTTTATTTTATTTTGCTGCTTCCTCGACTTCTTACTAGCTCAAGTGCTCTGCTTCTCCACCTGCAATCACTCCTTCTGCTCAGCACTGGGGAGTCCGGTGGGCTGAGTGAGCATTCAGAGGAGGGTGGGAGGACAGTCCTAACGTGCGATAACGTCCAGAGTGTCACCCTCTTTAGGAATTACTGGTTTTTTTCCTGAAAGGAAAAGAGAGTGAGACTAATGGATTTGTCTCTCTGGGCCTCTCAGGTGAGCTGTAAAGACAAGGAACTGACAAATGCAGAAGGTTAAAAGCTCTCGTAAAGAAAGTCCAAGACATATGTGAGATTATTAGCAGCCCTTAAGGATACTTCCTTAAATATGCCACCACTAGCCATCAGTGGCCTCTCTTCTTTCTCTTTTCTCTCAGCTCTCAAGCCTTTATCTGAGACCCACGGCCCCAATCCTCTATCAATCTGTCCCATGATAAGACTCACTAGGCAGGTGTGGAACTGGCCCGGGACACTGAGATACTGAGACAGCATTTACATGGAAGAAGAAAGTAAGATTGGAGGGGAGCAATGGCCTGTTCAAATGGTCTCATAGCCCTGACTTTTCAGTTTTTCATGGTACAAGATGCAGAATCTATGTCAAGAATTGGCAACTCAGAGGAATTATGGTTTTTTCTGTCTAAAACAAGGGAAGCAATCACGACGACCTCACGCCACCCTCCATTCTGCTGCTAGTCGTCTTTGTTGACAAGAGAAAATTTCTTTTTTGCAAGTATATATTCATTATAAAAAGTTAAGAAAAAACACAAGTGTAAAAAAGAAAATTTTAAATTACCAGACATCCCGTCCACTCAGAAACTGCCATTAACATTTGAAGTATATTTCCTCCTTTATTTTTTCATGCAACAAAATGCCATTTATTTTGAAATTATATCTTATTGTTTGTTAATTTAAAAGGCAATACATCATAATTTCCCTGGGCCTTAAGATTACCAGCAAATATTTGTTGAGCATTTGCTATTTCCTATGAGAGATATGATGGTGACAATAACCATATAACAGTTGCCATTTATTGAAGACTGTGATACTGTGATATAATAAAAGATATGTATTTGGTCTGGGTACCTGGTTCCAGGCAGAGCTCCTAAAACCTTTGGAAGTACAGATGATAAGTGTCTTGTATGCTACTGAGGTAACTGGTGGCTGGGGCTCCAGGATAGCGTCAGTGTGGGGGCTGGCTGCCAGAGGAACCAACCACCTGATTAGAGGGTTGGAACTTTCAGCACCACCCCTAACCTCTGAGGTTGGAAGAGGGGCTGGAGATTAACCTGATAACTAATAGCCAATGATTTCATCAATCATGCTGACAGTAATGAAGTCTTCATAAAAAACCCTAACCAAAGGGGTGGGGAGATCTTCCAGGTTGGTAAGCACGCAGAGGGTGGCACACCTACAAAGGGCATGGAAGCCTCAAGACCCCCTTTCCCCAAACCCTGCCCAAAGCATCTCTTCCATCTGACTGTTCCTGAGTTGTATCCTTTTACACTTTTTATAATAAACTAGTAATCTAGTTTTTTTAAAAAAAGTAATACACACACTGAAAATTATTCAAATTTTTATTATTTGCAAGTATTACTTTATCACCACCTGTAATTTGCATTATTTTCTTAACTTTTCGCATAAAAAATTTATGTATCCTTCAAAGATAGTCTTTGCATATATAGGCACAGAGGTCTGTTTATACTTTATATGTGTGTGTGTATATATATATTATATATATATATATATAAATGATAGCATGCCACACATTCTAGTCTATATCCTCCATGTATATTTTAATAGCTGAGACCATATTTTCATTTTATATCCTGCTCCTTTTCACTTAACATTATATCATAAGTATTTTACTGATACTTTTAAAATTCTTCATAAATATCATCTCAATTGACTACATTATATCCATTCTACAGTTGTGCCATATGACCAATTCTTTAATGTTGTGTATTTATTTTGCTGTTCTTAGTTATTAAAAATTAAGTTGCAGTGACCATTTCTTTACATAATTTGTTCTCTTTCCTATTTATTTCCTTAGGAGAGATCCCTAGAAATGGAACCCCTGCTCAAAGAATAACTTTGCTGAAACAGAATTGATCCTCACCTCAATTTCCTTTATGCTATTTTGTCCTCTAAATAAAGAGACCTGGGAGATTAAAACTGGAAGGACAGAGATTATCATTCCCATTTGACCAAGAAGGGAACCAAGGGGCAGAAATTAGAAGGATTTGCCCAGGCCTCACAGCTAACAGCTGAGACTGGACCTAGTACCATGAGTATTACAGGAAAGGTCAAAATCCCTGGTCTATTCCTCAGCTGAATTCTTGGGCAAGTCATATTACCTGTCTAAGCCATAGCATTTTTACCTTAAAATAGAGAAAATACTCCACCTACTTCACCAAGCTTTGGTACCAATAGAGTGAGCAGATACCATATGTAAATAGTCTGATATGGTTTCTTGACCTATGGGAGGCACTCAATAAATATTAATTCACTGGTTTCTTTAATTCACTTCTGCAGTCAAACCTTGTTCCAATGCCTCTCTCCCTGATCTGGGCTCCGTAATTTGAGCTTGTTTTGCAATTAACTATCTGTCTCCCCTTCTGGATTCAGCTGAGTTTTATCTATCCTCAAACCCTGTCAACAGTGAACCTAGAGTAAATCCTTACAGGCATGTTAACCTTTCAATAAGCATTTATTAAGCATATGCCATGTGCTAGACTATTCATGTAAATGCTGTATTATTGGTCTTCATTTTTGTGATGCAGCTGTTTACACTCTTAGATTCCTGGAATTAGAAGGGGTTTTGAAGAGGCAGCTTTATCATAACAAAAAGCCTAGGGAGGGGAGGGTACAGCTCAGTGGTGGAGGGTATGCCTAGCATGCACAAGATCCTGGGTTCAATCCCCAGTACCTCCATTAAATAAATAAAGAAAGAAACCTAATTACCTCCCCTGCAACAAAATTTTAAAAACAAATAAATAGGAAGAGGGTATAGCACAAGCAGTAGAGCACAAGCTTAGCATGCATGAGGTCCTGGGTTCAATCCCCAGTAACCCCTCTAAAAATAAATAAACTTACTTACCTCCTCAAGACAAAAAAACATAAATTAAAAATAAATTAAAAGAAAAAAAAAAAGACCTGGCTCCTGATTCCAGCTTCTCAGTAACTCAATGTTTGAACTTGGACAAGTCACCTACACCTCAGTGTCCTCATCTATGATATGATCATATACCTACCTCAGAAGGCTGCTGTCCATTTTAAATAAGAAAATGTATATAAGTAGGCTTCAGACCTATACTGTGTGGAAAAAAATACACCTGTGGCCTTGTATAGACTCAGTGAGGAAAGTGCCTGCCTTTATTAGCTATGTCTGCCACAGGTGAGAGAGTAGGGAGTGAGGCAAGAGTGAAAATAGTTTTAGTTCCTGGTCTGACCCAGTCCCCTTCATCTTACAGGCACAAAAATTGAGGCACCACAAAGAAAAGTGATTTGTCAGAGGTCACACCAGCAAGTCAGTTGGAGCATCATGGGTAGTACTTCTGTTATCTGATGACTCCCAGATTGGACTGGGCTTGGGGAAAATAAAACTACAATAATTTTAGGGTGAGTAAAGAAGCATCCCAGCACCCTGAGATCTCTTTCCTAGCACTTACCATATGATACAGTCAACATCTGCTCATGTGCACACAGCACAGCTTTCCCAGAAAGTAATGTGAGAACAGGGGGAGTCAGAAAGCCGAGAGGTTCAGTTGGAAGGCAGGTCAGATGGAAGCCCCCAAGGGGATCTTCTCAGAAGAGAAGCAGGGGCCACAAAGACAGGAGGAGAGGTAAAAAGTATCCCAGCAGGCAGCTGCCTGAGGCAGATCTGAGCAGACAGGCATGGTGGTGTGTGCAGAACTGCATTTGTAAGATAAGCATCAATCCAATCTCCCCTTTCTTTTTGACAGTCACATAAATGATAGAGCTGGGTAGCTCACTGTCTTCATGACTAACAATGCAGATGAAGGCCCAGGGACCATTAGGGAAGTCATCTCCAGTCCCAGGCTAGGGGAAAGAAGGAAATGGCTCCTCCAAGGGTTGATGTGAAAAACAAATAACACTTTCAGTCTGATAAGCACCTAAAGAAGACACCAACTTCAGCCAGCAAAGAGGGAGAGAAGAGAGCCCTAAAATCCAGCAAGAGATCAACTCAATATATGTAGTGAAGTAAATGGATGGAAAGAGCACAAGATTAAGTCAGAGAGACCTGGGCTGAGCCCCAGCTCTCTCGGCAGTTGTGTAATCTATAATCACGCCTGGGCCTCAGTTTCCTTATCTATAAGATAAGTTAATAAAATGACTTCCAGGCAAACTATTGTAAGAGTTAAAACCAGTATATGGGAGAGGGCTTTATAAGCCCCTTTCAAATTTTTTTGGTCTGTGTGTTTCATATTTTTTTCTACCAAGTCATCCTGGAGAGTGGAAATAGCTTGGGGTTCCAAATCAAACAGACTAGATTCATTTCCAGGTCTGTCACTTATTAACTGTGAGACCTTGCAAGAAATTTTACATGACTAAGATACAGTTTCCTCATTTGTAAAACAAGCATTGTTGGGAAGATTATAGTCAATGTTGGTAAAGCATCTAGATAGACACATAGCAGGTGCTCAATAAATGTAATTCTATCTTCCTATTGGGAACATTTATCAGTGAGGACAAGGAGGGAGTTGGGCAATGTGAACCTCACCCTACAATATACAACCTCCTCCCTAAAGCCATACTCTACTAACTCTTTTAATTCAACCTTTCCTTAGAACATTCCCCACTACCAATCAATCACCACCAGCCCAGTCTAGCCCGGCCCACCTCATCACTGTTTCTCCTGGTCTCTTAGAGCCACAGAAACAATATTGTAATAGATACCATTTGGCACCAACTAAATACCACGCACTCTACCAGGTGTTTTCAGTGCACTCTATCTTGCATACAACAGATGCTTGATAAATGTTCACTTCCTTCTCCAGTTTGGAAAGATACAGCCGTGGGTGTGACCACTGACATACTGTAGGCACACTTGCGTAATGACATCAGTGGCCTCTCTCTTCTGTACAGTGCTTTACCGTTTATGAAGCTCTTTTCACCCATATTATCATACTTGATTTTCACAACAATTCTTGCTCATCTTTGGATGAGGACACTGAGGCAAGAGCACAACCACAGCTCAATTATTCATTCAATCAACATTTACTGAGCAGCCTACTGTGTGCCAGGCCCTGTACTATACTCTGGAGAGATGAAGAGAAACCACAGGAGTCCCAGCTTAGAGGGGAAACTTTTTTAAACATCCTCAAATGTTACTGGTGCCTCTCTTCATATCATAATCCTTAAGAAACTGGAGATTTATTTCTTGGACTGGAGATCATTTTCTATTTTTGCTTTCTTCCATACTGTTTCCCCTGATAGGAACATACTTTCCTCTGCTTCTAGCTAAATCCTTCATGACCAGAAAATCTTCCCTGATCCACCATCCTCTGGTAAAATGTCTTTGCTCTGGCCAACACAGCTCCAGGGCTTTTCAATACCATAGACAGGGCATTTCATGGACTTCCATTGTTTTCCTCTCTTTATAGACACAGAACAGGTGGTCATCCACCTGTGCACACACACATCCAGCTCCTTTTACCATCCCCCACCTTTTTCCATCTAGATTCCAAGAAGTTAGGATGAATGGCCCTGTCCCTCTCCCACCCCTCTCCCCACCTCTATTAGCTTCCAGAGGCTGCCACCTCGCCCTCCCTAAAGTCTATTCCCTCATTTGGACTCCAGAACAGAGTCGACCTGTGGATAAACTAGTCTGTCCACGATTCTCTTCTTATCTCTGATCCCAGGTGGCAGTGTAATAGGGTCCAGCGCCAGTGCCCCCTCCTCAGCCTCATGAGGAGCTCAGACGCAGCTAGTGCATGGATGCCGGTGGACTCCACTCTGGGCCCCCATCATCTTTCCACTCACACACCACCACCCACATCTGGCTTCCTCCCCACCCTGACCCAGCCCAAACTCTCTAAGTGCCCTGACAGTCACTCCACTCCCAGCTGCCGAACCCCTGCTCTATTCCTCTCCACGCACCACCCCTGGACATAACTGAGGTGTCCACTGCCCGTATCCAAGGCCCCGGCTCTCTCCCTCCACCAGCTCCCCACCCACCTCTCTGCAGTCCGGATAGACCCAGCCCTGCCTCCCACCTTCCCTTTCTCGCCAGCTTTCCACCTCCAAGCCCCGCCCCTCTTCCCCACTCAGGTTACTCCCCTTGCCTATACCCAGATGGGCTCCGACTCCCATCCTTTTCCCTCCCAGCTCTCCACACACACTTTACCTTCTCGCCGACCAGCATCCTGCCCAGCGCCCCTTCCCCTCATCATCTCACCCCTGGGCAGCTTAAAAACGACCCCCGCCGGCCAGTCCACCCCCCTTAGCTCTTCACTTCCACGCCTTCGCAGCTCTCGCTCCCCTCAGTCCTCCCGCTTGCGCACCCCGTTCACCGCCCCTCGGCCGCGGGGTAGCCTCTTCCCGCACTGCCCCTCTCAGCTCCCTCCTTCCATCTCCCCCGCCCCCAGCGCCCCGCGTTCCCCTCTCAGCGAGCCCTCACTACGCTCCGGCGGCCGCTCACCCTTTCCCCCAACCCAGGCGCCCTCTTTTTAGCTCCCTCACTCCCGCCGCCCTCTGCCCTCGAAGCCCCCCTGGCGGCCCTCAGGGTCCGGGCAGACCCCCCCTCAGCGCCCCCTCCCCGGGCTACGCGCCCCTTCACTGCCGCGGAGCCTCTCCTTAGTGGCCTCCCCTGGCTTCTTGTCCTCGGCGTCCTCTCCGCTGCCCAGTGCTCCTTTTCAACCCCCGCTCACTGGCCCCAGAGCCCCGCGCCGGGAATCGGTCCCAGGTCCTCCCCGGGCGGGGTGCCGGGCCGCGCCCCTTACCTGGGACTCCGGGTGAAGACGCGCGGTCGCTCCCTGGAAGCGCC